AAGTGATTAGCCCAAAAGCTCCTTTTGAAAGCATGCTAGAATTCTTGTATATTTGGAATAGGGTGATAACTAGATTTTTTAGCAATGCAAATATAAATGCATATATAAATTAATGTGTGTTGTTAATACTTACACCTTAAGAGGCTGAATTGAGTAATTTTTATTGTGCTGTATTATTCCAATAACTATTAAAACTACATTAGATTTTTTACCGTTTTATGTTTTTCTTGAGATAGCCCAAAAAGGGAGGTGGAATACTCTAATTCTAGTCAGAAAAAGTTACATATAAAGGAAAATGCCTTTTTGCCAGCATCTTTATATTTTGCTGCCACAGATATTTTTTGCTGAAAGGCTTTTTTAATTTTTTTTTTTGCATCAGTATTATTTTCAGTGCATGAGTAGATTGGTACTTTTATACCATTTTTTGCCCTGCTAGAGATTAAATTAGAATGTTCTGTCTTGAGAAAAAAGTCAATTTTTAACAACAGTACATTGAAAAAAAAAGGAAAGAAAAATTTAAAAGCTATGTTGGCATAATTTGAATGAAATCTCTTTTCTCAGCACAGATTACTCATCAAGCCCTCTTTGGGTAGAACTGGTCTTTGACTTCATAGACTGCCCTGTGCCTGGAGGGCAGGCAGAATAAGAGCCAGGATTTGAGGGGTTAATCCTCAGAATTTCTCTGAAACCTGGCTATGACCTACAATTGTTTGTCTGCTACTGGCAAGTAGCTAAAGTGCAATAGTGCCAGGCTCCCTTTCAGAGGAACACAGAAAAGGTCCAGCTGTGCAGATTTCGGCTGCTGGCTAAGATAAAGCTATACTTTCTCATTAGTGACTCTGATTCCATAGCCCAAAGTTGCCTTTGTAGATTAAGAACTGAAAAGGTTGTAGGTTTAAATAAATTAATCAGGTTCTTGTGCTATAAGGATAATTAAGATAATTAAACACTTATAATACATGAGACTTGAAAGGAATAGATGTAGGAGTGTGATATGCTCTTTGGAGAGTCCCTAAAATCTCCTTTTTCATTTTCTGCAGTAGCCAAATCTCCATTTACATGAAGAAGAAAGACACACCCATCTACACATACCCATTTGACAAAAATAATTACAGCTGGCAATTCTCTGTCTTGTTCAGCTATGCAGTCATTTCCCTCATAACTATTATTACACAATTAAGCCTCAGAAAACCGTGGTGAGGGAAGTAATGGTCCTCTGTTGATCACTCAGATTTTTAATAAGAGGCAGCCACTCCCAGGGTGAAACATTCACAGTACACCCGCTACTATGTGACAAAGGAATAAGAATTCATTTTTCTGCTGAACCTCCATGAATTGGAAGAACAGGAGGAGATGGAATTTGGCTGAAACCTCAGTTCCAGGACCCTATTCATACACAAAGACCTGTGGGATATTAGGGGAGAAATACACTGTAATTTTGACTTCATATTTTTTGAGTCATCAGAGAATTAGCACCTGCAGCAGCCCAATGACTTGTTCACCATTTCGTGGTATTAGCTGAGGCTTAACTTGAGAACAAAACCAGTACCTTGTGTACCACAGCAGCATTTCCAGAGCTGTTTCCTATTGGTTATTCAAGCACTCTTTGTCAGGACCTTTGATAAGGTGAAGAGGCAACATTATTTAAAAATCTTCTTTTCACCTGTTGGAGATCTTCCAACCTATGTCAGGTGCAAATAAATAGGAGGCCATTACAGCATCCAGAGAGGAATGTCTCTGAGCACATGTGAGAAATGTCCTTTTTTTACCTCAATTGTCCTGCAATAAAAAGGCCAGGGAGATAGGACATGTCATGAGCAACTACCAGTGCTGTTTGCACTGTGAACCCTCTGAGAGCAAGATCTGTGGGGCAGAAGGTTGTTTATATTTTAAGAACAGACTCAGGTTCTGAAATTGGCTGCAACTACCCTCACGAGCTTGCAAATGGCCATACAAAGGCAGGGGAATCATGTCAAAAATCCCTTTCTATTTGGAATATTTGTTACACATATATTTTTCTCTATTCAACCCCTTTTATATTTTCCACTTTGCCTTTTAACAGGTTTTTTCTTTTTGGGATTTTTGTTTGTTTGCTTGTTTGTCTGTTTGCTTTTTTAATTTTCCAGAGGGCTCTCTTCATACTCTATAGGCTTTTCCCCTCCTCTCTGGTCTCCTGTTATGGATCAGATGTCATAAGAGATTTTAAATATCTTGTTCAGTCCTCTTCCCTTCTGATCCTATTATCAGTCTCAACTCATAGCACATTGAAAAAAAGAAACTTGACCTTTTTTCTCTCTCCTCTTTCAGACTACTTTTATGGAAATGTATCTGCTTCACAAAAACATCCAATAGTCTACAATTTCTCCTGAAATTAACCTAGAAAGTGTCCCAAAAACCCCACATTCCTTTTTTTCAGCGCTAATCTTAAGTGCCTAAAATTCCTGTCTGTGATGTTGATGAATATTTGTTTTAACATTTCTGATGCTTGAAATCACACACGGCCAGGCAACTAGGAATTCTATACCTGCAGGAAAATACTGCTTTACAATCAGAAACACATAATTCCTTTTTAAACTGAGAGGCCCCAGCATATTACATCTTAAATCTACACCATTATTCTACACAGGAAAGCAATTTTAAGCATGTTCTAGGGCTTTATTTATTGTACAGAAAGTTTTTACTCCTTACTTTTGTTTGAATTTTATTTTATTTTCCTCATGGATGGATGCATGGATAGATTTAGTTTACTTCAGAGTCATTTAGGGAAAAACAGGCAGAAAATGTTTGACCTGATACATTTATAAGGTATGAAAATATCCCAAACTGTTTAAAAGCAATCTCTCAAAGACACTTATATACTTGTATTTTGAAAGAGAGGAAAATTGTATAAAAGGTAGGTTGCTGCCATGAAACCATGTTTCTGGCACTATTTTCTAATCAATGACTTCGTGAACCCTGAAGCTGTGATGCAATAACTGTGCCCTCATCTGTTCCTTGGTCTGTTTTCAGTTCTTTTTTTGTGTCAGGCTTCCCAACTTCACCTCTCCAGGGCAGAGGCAGGATTTCACAATTCTTTAATTTTTGCTGGGCTTTGGGACACTGTGTCTGTCTTAACTGTGCCAATACAGACAGTCTGAATGGATGCGCAACTTTTCTTTTAGAGAGTCTGTGAATACTCCACTTCATTAAAAATAGAATGGTATTTAAATATTTAATCTTAAATATGCAAACTTAAATATTTTAAATAAATGGAATTGAAAATAACAGTCTATATGCATATTTGTCCTGTCTCAAGCTTTCCCACCCCCTCATGAGAGAGCAACCAAGCCTATTTTCTCTACAGTATTAGTTTGCATCCCCAGCCTGCTCAGACATAAAATTTGTCTGCTCTGAATCGGATCTCTTGATCTTTCCTGTGCCTTTTTCTTTATGCCTGCTTGGGATTTCTCCATTTTAGATGAGATGCATTTTTCAGACTGGCTATAGCATTAGCAGACTCTCCCAGGCCACCAAGATGGACATTAACATTTTATACAACTCATTTGCTCCTGAGAGACACTCCCCTGTCAAACATTTTCTGCCTGTTTTTCCCTAAAGTAGATTTATTGAACTCACTTGGTTCAGGACCAATAGTCAACTCAACATATTGTATTCATAAATTATTACAGAGCAGTGCCACTTTCATCACAGAAGCTCTGTGACTTCCTGCAGATTCAGCTTCCAGAACATGATGCCTTGATTTATTTTTCAGAGTCATCATTCCTTTTCCACAGGAGGGAGCTTTGGTGTTCTGGCAATCTTTTTAACCTGTATTTATATGTATTGGTTATATTTTGACAATGTTGGTACTGAGGATCTTCAAAAGCATCGACATGGCTCAGCACACAGCTTAGCCACAGAGTGCTGTAAGAAATGTCCTCCCTTGGATCAGCAAGGCACAAACACTTGTCTTTAATACCCACAAAGTGACTAGTCCCCATGAGGGCACAGAGCCAAATTTGTTTTTCCTGTTCTGCAAATTTAACATGCTTTGTGCCCTTCCAGGCGACTGAGCCCCATGGAACACAAGAATCACAGTCTACACTTGGGCGGAAAAAATTTCACCTGGCAATAGCAGAGGCATTCTCCTCCCTGAGCCTGTAAAGAGGTTTCCCAGCAACAGCAACATTGTAGAGGTGCTATCAGATAAAACATCAAATCACAGCCCTGAGCACCTGCTATCATCAAGCATCCCTTAGCACTCAGCACAAGATTGAAGGTGTTAGTTCAATTTTTCCTGACCAGATTGCCCTGTGAAATTCAAATCCCACCTGCAGCTTCACCACTTTCTCTTAGATTTCTGGTTCCTGGCTTCCTTCATACTGTTAAAAACCCACCATTTTCCAGGGTTAAGGAAAAGTGCCTTGTGCAGGAGATATTTATTCATCTAGATAAGTAAACAAAAGACACTTTTAGAAGTTAAGGTATTATTTGCCTTGGAAAAGACAAATGGCTGTGATCAGCACCTCAGTAAACTCCTATGGTTAATGCTGATGCTTCTTCAGGAATGTGGTTCTTTTATCCTGTTTTACAGCAGAGAAAGAAAGGAGAAGTGGTAAAACTCCTGGAGTTATTATCAGTTTCAGGAGGAAGGTTTTAATTTCAGGGCATTTTCAGATGCATGGAACAGCTTTGTGTCTACTGTCACATTTATCTTCATATTTCTTAGCTCTGGGTCTGCTCTGTGCCATGATTTAGCTGTTTTCAGAGAGCTCAGTTTAGACTGGCAATACTCAGAACCTCAATGAAAGTGAATCTTGAGTTAAATTGAGTCTCTGCTGTGGTGTGAATGAGAGAGAAAATGTCCCATCAAAACCTGCATTAATATTTCTCCTATATATGCTATATTTTATCCATATTTTGGATGGTCCAACAGATATTACACGAGCTTTGTCCAAAAATCACTGTCTGATTAACATATACATCATGTTTTAGGAGCTACCAAACTTTCAAGCGTTTTGGATGGTCCAACAGATATTACATGAGCTTTGTCCAAAAGTCACCTCACTGTCTGATTAACATATACATCATGTTTTAGGAGCTACCAAATTTTCAAGCCTTTCATTTGTAGAAATAATGTCATATGAACTTCTCAGGTCAAGGAACGGTCACACAGTACAGGTTTGTCAAGTGTTTATCATGAACTGAAACATCTTTCTGATTAGCTGTGAGTGTTCTGTTGTAACAGGAGTGCTAAATAATAGTGATTGTACATCCAGCAAGTGCAAGTACTTGTATGTGCAAACCTAGGTTTTTGCATGCTCAAAAAAGGTGATTTTCAAATTTGGCAGGCACATTTATGGATTTCTAAAAAATGTTACATTTCCAGCAGAAGAAGAACTCTATTACTGAGTTCTGAAATACCCTTCTTTTGAATGTTTGCTCACTCAAAAATACAGACAAACTGTTTCAGATGTAAAAAGCCTGTTAAATTAATGGAGTACAATATAAAGTTAGTACATATAAAAATTTATAAAAAAGAGATAGCAAAATAATCTTGTAACTAGACTATCATGTATATGTTGTACATCATGATGTTAGAAATTTTTAAAGGAATTACATTGAATCCAATTAAAAAGCTGAGAAAGAGGAGAAAAGGATTAATCAAATGAGTCTTTTAACTAAAGTTTTTCTTAATATTGCTCCAAAAATGCACCCACAGAAATAAATTAGGTAAATGCTTTTTCCCTTGAAAAAATCAACCCAATGAAAACATTTATTGGTAGCTCAACATTTTCTTCAAAAATATTGGAAGTAGTGGTGATTCTTTAAGAAAAATGTATAATTTTGTTAAACATAAGTAGTCCAAAGAATTGCATTTATTGAAGAAGAAATTTTGCAGGGGAAGTTGCTGGCCACTTTGACCAATATTCATATCCCTAAGACCAGCATAGACAAAAGATGGTGAGGAAAGAGCTGGTTACTTGCTGGGAGGGAGAGGGGAAGGGCCATGTCAGCAGGACTGTAAAATGTTGGGGTCCAAAGCTGAGGTCATGGAGTGCAGAACATGGTTTCAATCTTTGTGGGCTTGTGCTCACCTGTGCAGTGTGAGAGTACAAAAAAAACCAAAAAACAGGCCATGCAAATACAATTCTTAACTACTGGTTTCCCGTAAAGAGCTTCAAGTAAAATAGCTTAGGCCTTTAGGAAAGGAAGATTTTCTAACTGTTGTAAAAGTACTACAATATATTTTAAACCAGCCTTTTGACACATTTGTTTTTCCCAAATTAGGGTAATACATGAGATATGGGAGAAATGTGGATAAGCAGAAAAAAAAATCAGGATGGGAGCAGAGAACTTGTAACTGCTCCAAGTTTCCAAATTTAAATATTTAGAATTCCTTAATAAAGATATGCATTGAGCACATATTCCTTGACTTAAACTGTGCTAAGCTCTTCCTTGGTGCTTTTGTGATGTCACTGAGAGTAACTCGTGAACCAGGCTCTAAAGCCAATGGATGGGTTATGCTAAGTACATATCCTATCTTTTGAGATGGTTAAGGAAACAATGAAGAAAAAAAAATAAATCTTTTTATCTAGTTCTATTAATCACTGCTAAGGGAATAAAGATAAATACTTAAGGGATCATTTTTGAAGCTAGATGTCCAGATGATTTCGCAGCCTGATTTCTTCTAGATGTAGAGCACCCATCAATCAGGTTTAGACACAGAAGTCATTCACTATTGTTATTAACAATACCAAAAATAACACAACAAAGGGGCACAAGCTGAGCCTTTGGTATTTAACAACAATTAAAATTTAAGAAAATGAATCTTGAAATACCTTGCTACCTATGATGAAACACACAGGATACTCAGAGAACAGTAAAATAGGTAAAAATACGTTGCTCATTGCTGAACACTAATGCTACATTTGATCGTGAATTTGTTCGCTTTTTGGATATTAGGTGCAAAAAAGTGCAAAGAATATTTAATTAACTATTGACTGTTACAGTACCACATTACAAAAAGTATTTTCTAGGCCACAAAGGCCACTGTTGATATAATTTATATTAAGATAAATGTATACATAAAATAGTTTTTCAATCTCCATATATATATATACATATATATCTGTTTTGATATCAGCCTTGCAGAATCATGTTGAAAATTATCTAAGCCACAGAATTTTGTTAGGATAACAATTATGGGAGGGAAAAAAACCTCACAGAGGAGAGTTTGTTCTCCTATTAAAAAAATTACTCATCCAGAGCAAAAGGAGGAATGAAATTCTGCAAGGCTGCTCTGCATTTATGGTGATGAAAATACAATCTTAAGCAGGGAGGATCAGTGTCAGCATTACCAATCCTCTCTGATAGAAACAATTTCTGCCTAGAGGCCATGAAGAACAACCTGAAACAGGCATTCAGAAACTTGGACTGGAGCCTTTTCTTTTTTCCATTTTTTCTTTCTTTTATTTTCTTTCCCTCCCCTTATTTGTAAAGACTGTAAAGATTGATTTTTATATTTATTTGTTTGCTTGCTGCGTTCATAGGCACAGGAGGCAAGGTATAAAAGTGCCTCCTTTTTTGAATTAGATACACCTGTAATGTTAAGACCAGCCTTGCTAGCTTTTCTGGAGCAGTTTAAGACACTTAAAGGTATTTTTGTCTGTCTTAGAGATCAGTCATGGTGGCATTGAGGGACTGGATCTTTGGGTACATATTTTGTGTCAGCCAGGCTAAACCAACCCAAAATGGTTCTTTAGAAGTTTGCCAACACGACCCTTTCCCTTCATATCCAGATGAATTCTCAAAATTTCTTTCATTATCATAAATCAATCTTCTTTTGTTGTTTTTCTCCTGCATGACATTTCTGTAAAAATACTGGTTTGGAAAACACTGTTTTCTTTATATATATTGCAAAGATACAAAAAGTGCCTAACTTTTTCTAATTACAGTCCAGCTTTCAAAACCTCAGACCCAATCCTGCTGTCTGTGCTACACTCTTCACAGAAAGAAAGAAAAGAAAAAAGGAAAAAAGAAAGTAACTATCTGATTTATCTGATTGAGGTAAACTGCAGTGTTTGGAGAAAAATCCACAAAATAATAAGTAGTTCTCTTCTGCTTTTTAAAGTATCTGACTACAGCAAATAGATTTTTGCATTTGCTGTCACTGTGTATTCCAATAAATGAGTTTACTTGCTTGTAAAATAGTCACATTTCGATTTGTATCTCCATAGACTGACAGAAAACACATCTCAAATTCATATTTAGCATATGTGTCTAGAGGCATCCAGCCAGCAACCAGAAACTAAATTCCATGTGTGCTGTGCACTCAGTCAAAATAACTTCAAAGAAATCTAAGGCTGTCACATTAAATCAAGAATCATAGAAATGTTGTGGGTAACTGCAATATTTGGTCAATTTTGTGAAGAGATAAATCACGTTAAATCAATTCCTTTACGTCTGAGCATTCTCTCCTCTGCAGTTTGACTTGTGTTGAGATGCAGCTGTCATCATGAGTGCTGGAAGCTTATAACTGCATAGATCCAGTTCTCATACCTGTATCAGAAGGGCTTGACTAAAACCTATTGAAGTCAGTAGATCTGCCTCATTGGCTCTTAAATCAGCCCTTCCTCCCTGCCCAAGGAATGAACTGATTTTCCAGATACTCAAAACATGACAACAGTGTTTTGTTTTTTTTTTCATGCAACATTCAGTTTGAAGTGCTATCTTGCAAAGTCATAGAGGATTTAGTGCAATTTAGAAGGAATTTACTACATGAGCTGTATATGACTAATTGCTCTACCTCAAAAGAATTAGGTGTTAAAAGGTGCAGTAGTTTGAATTACTTAAGGGATCTTTTTTTTTTCTGGTTTCTTTGCCTCTGAAAAGATAGAGGCCCCATCAAACCACTGCCCTGGATATATGCCAGAGATAAAACAGGTGAATGAATTTGCAGAAGGAAGGGTTATATTTGACTCAAGTCAACTTCATCCACACTTTAACAAATTATTATAAATTGTCGTATAAGACTTAGAATAGGAAAGATGTATTTTGATAAAAAAATATGGATACAGTTCATCTGCAGAATCCAAACCTTCTGTTGATGTAGATGTGAGCTGTGGGGGAGCTTTGGACACTGAGCATGATGGATCCATCCTGGCTCCTAGGGTGTAAGCGGTGGTTTGGGTGAGGAACAGGATCCCTGGCTATCAAAACTGGTTGCTCGGCCAGGTAGCTGCAAGAAAAGTGTTATTTTCACAAATGTCATCACATCTGGCTGTGCATCACGCTCATTTCAGAGGATGAGAGACTACCTCAAAAAGGATCACATCCAGACCCTTTCTAGTCTTTGGATCAAAGTCTCTGGCATCAAAATCTCCAGCAAAACTAATAATGGAAAGAAAATTTCTGAAGTGACCTTCTAAAAATGCCTCTGACTCGTTTCACAGGAATGGGTTTATTTCACCAGCAGGGGTGGCACCTCTGTCTCCTAACTTACACAGACTAGACAGAACCATGCACCTCTAAAAGACACTTCTCTGCTGCCTTGACTCAGTTTTCTTTCCCCCACACTCTTCTTAGTGATTTACTGAAGCCTTGATGTTGTGCTTTTGCTACCTCTCACAGAACATGTTGCGCAGCCATGTGCTACAGAGCGGGGGAATCACATGGCCTCAGGCAGCAAATCATTTTTCTACAGATTGCTTTTGTGATGGGCTAAACAGTGCCTCTGTGCCCCTGCTGCTTCCTAAGGCTTCAATATGTATCTTTCTGAGTCCAGAGCTGTGAGGATGCTGTGCACAGAACACCAACAATGTGTGGCCACAGTAGATCACAGAGGGAGTCCAAGCCCAGGGACTTGTAGATATAATCACCCCTACATTTGAAAAAGCTTCCAGTAAGCATCTGTTGAATAACTCTGGAGGGAGCTGCTGGTATGTTGCCACAATTTAGTCTAATTTGCAGGCCAGTTACAGATTAATGTTTTAGCAACAGCAGCTTATGCTAAAGATTTTTGAATAGGAAATGATTGCTTTTGAAATTTTTGCAAATGATCTCTTCTAAGTAGCTGTAAGCTCTTTATCAAAATCTCTGGAAATTTAAAACGTTTAAATGTAATCTTGCAATGCCATCAGAGCATCGTGGGAACTGTTGAAATGGCCCTTTTAAATTATACATAAACCCATGCAACTAGATTTAGGCTGTGCTAATGATCTTTTACCTGCTCCATAGGTGCTGCACTGATTTTCGTGATTCTCAGAAGCCCATAAATGTGAGGGGCAAACCCACCCAATATCAAGGAGAAAATTTTGCTATTTCTTACCTCTAGTAGTGGGTGCCAGTGAGTTATTGGTTTACGTGGGTAAGCCAACATTTCATTCCAATGATCTCTTCCAAGGCCTTCAGCATCAATTCCTGTCCGGCACACTCCAATGACCTCATTGTGCCCTACTCTGAGAATTGTAGAGTGAGAAAGAATTTATTTTTAATAAAAAATAGTTTTAATAACATCTGATATACAATTCTGTTTACTGGCTTAGTGTGGCACAGAACACATGATCAAAGTTTTCATATAAATTATTACAGATATTAGTTTTTAATGGTAGTGCAGTAATATTACATTCTGTAATGGTAACATCAAAAACTCCTAGCCACTACCAGAGTGCTTCTAGCAGCTATAAAAATAGCAATGAAAACATAATCCTTGCCATTAAAAGGTTACAACTCAGAAGACACAAGGACAGAAAAGGATCATAATACACAAAATTATCTGAAGGAAAACATGTTTGAATTTTGTGAGAGAGGAAGGTGGAGGAAAATGGTGGGGAATAAATTTCCTGCTGCAAATTCTTCAGACATAATTTCATAAACTATTTCTTAGCTCTAGTTGTTGCGATCTTTGGAAGTTCAGTCAAAAATGTGAATGGTAAGAGTAATAGTTGTAATAGTCTATACCTTAATACTTCGTGCTCCTCACAGTGCCATAAGATGGTTGAGGAACACCAGAAAGTAATTTTCTGTACCTTGACTCTATGTACCTCAGAATAATGCTTTCCAATTTCCCCTTAGCAAGTGCTGGGAAGGGAGGAGCTGAGGAGGACTGAAAGTGTGCAAGCTGCTGTGCTCCTTCCCTGCTAATGGCACCACGGTGCCACCCTCATGTCTGACTGAGAAAGTCTTCCTGGCAGAGCTTGGAGAACAACCAGAAATCTGATGGCAAGGGAAAACAATCTGAAGGGTGATGTTACTAAATTGGACTTTCACTGTTTATTTGCCCTGCAATCTCAAGAGCTCATTACTAATAGCACTTGAATGAAGCAGACTTGGCTTGGGCAGGATTCTGTCAGGCACAGTCTTGATCAACCTGCAGTCCTGAGCCACTCTAGGCAAGAGTCTTTTCCTGTCAGTTCTCAGTGAGGCCATAGATAATTAGCCTAAAACTTGTTATCAGTGAATGCTGAACTCAAAGATATTGAAGGTTACATATTGAAAGGTTATTTTACTGAATCAATCGAAGAAATGATTATGACTTAGTTCAATGACATGTGCTGAACCCAAAGGTTACATATTGAAGGTTACATATTGAAAGGTTATTTTACTGAATCAATCGAATAAATGATTATGACTTAGTTCAATGACATAATTAGCATTTAATTCCTTTCTAGTAATTGAAATTTTCTTTAGTTTCAAATACCTTCTATTTAAATAGAAATTGGAGCTGTGAGGGACTTTTTTAAGCTAGAACACCTGCCTGATTTATAAAGTTTTTGCATAGTCCAGCCCCCAGAAATGGACAGGAATGTATGTCAGGCCTAGTGGTCTGGAAGAAAATTGAGCCATATTTTTTCCTCATCTCAGTAATTTATGACACAGATAAAATGCCATGTGCTTGAAAAGGGGTGGAAGCTTTAAACTTCTTCATGAAAAGACCCCAAGGGTTTATCTTTTCTGATGCTGAAGCTACTTGTAAGCTCAAGGCAGGAAGCAGTCGCTTGCAGTGTCTCTGGTCAGAAAGTGAACTGTGCTTACCTGTCATAATCCATCACTGAAAGCAGTCGCTTGCAGTGATCAGGAATTGTCTCTGGTCAGAAAGTGAACTGTGCTTACCTGTCATAATCCATCACTGCAATGGAGAGGCTGACCTGGTCCACGTTCTCTGGAGGGATATCAAAGATGATGGCCTCATTATAAACAGGATTCAGAGTGTTCTTCTTTGTGGTTGTTTTCCGCTTTTTCAGCCTCCGTCCCTCGCACATCAGCGACACTTTGACGTAAGGATCTGAGTAACAGACAATCAGTTCATGCATTAGGACTCAAAGCCATTCAAATGGTAGCATAAGAACAATATTTGTAGTAGGAATGTTGTATTGCTAAGGTAAAAGGTTGCAAAGATTTGAGTGATCCTGGAAAACACTGCTTTCATCATGCTGTAAATGCAGAGGTACAGCCATTCCGAACAGACACACTGGCAGCCAGTCCAGCTAAACAGAGTCTGTATTCATTCTCTGATACTTCCACCCCACAGCCATGTTAGACACACAGAACCCAAGGAGCTCATCCCCTTCCTGAAGAGACTCTGCCTTTTTAAAAAGAAGTAGATTCACCTGATGCACCAGTTATATCCATTGCTTTGAGATTCCGACATTTGATGACTGTCAAAGTCATTCTCCCAGCAGTAGGCAAATAACAAAGGGAAAACATGATCTCACCCAAATCTATGCTTTCCTTACTGCTTTAATCATGCTGTAAATGCAAAGGAAAGGTACAGCCATTCCGAACAGACACACTGGCAGCCAGTCCAGCTAAACAGAGTCTGTATTCATTCTCTGATACTTCCACCCCACAGCCATGTTAGACACACAGAACCCAAGGAGCTCATCCCCTTCCTGAAGAGACTCTGCCTTTTTTAAAAGAAGTAGATTCACCTGATGCACCAGTTATATCCATTGCTTTGAGATTCCGACATTTGATGACTGTCAAAGTCATTCTCCCAGCAGTAGGCAAATAACAAAGGGAAAACATGATCTCACCCAAATCTATGCTTTCCTGAAAAAGAATAGCAATTATTAGAAACCTGATCATGCTACCCAAATTTAGTTCAGATCATGCAAAACTTATAATTTTTTAACATGGAGAGAGGCTTCTTTTGCAGCCTCAGATGCTTCTGAAGAAGTCACAGGCAATTTTCAATTTTCAAAAATTATTTCTGTAAAGTACAGAAGGAGTAACAACAAATAATAATTTAGGGACAAGATCTTAAATTACTAAACTGAGAAATTAAAACAAAATCAGAGACAAAATTTTCTGGATTCCTGATATTTTTGTATTGAATTCACACAAATGGAAAGGTGAAATTGAAAGTAGAATGTCAAGTTCTGCGCTTGAAAACACTCATAGTCCATCAACCCAAATAGAAAGTAATCTGATGGAATATTTAGATCATGCACATTTACATGGCCTTTAGACACTGCAAGTTATGTAGGAGAGTGCACAGGTTTGTGTATAAAAAGCTAGTCCTGTAAAAGTGCTTCAAAAAGAAGAACATGCTCATAAAAGTTGTTCTCTTTACTGCCCTTAATGTGCTTTAAGAGGTTGTCCTGATTCAGAAGAAAAGCAAAGTAAAGCAGTAGCACCTACAGCTTTTCTGGCTCAACAGCAACTTTTTGGAGGCTAATATACTCAGAAGGATGGATAGCTTCCATATGAATTTTAATAATCCTCACAAAGAGACAGGTTCTACATCAAGACCATGTGCTAAGCACTCTTGAAATAAGATGTTGCCATACAGTTTAGATGCTACAATACTTGAGGTGTGTAACCTAAGGGTTCTTATTTTTTCCTTTTCTCAGTTATACTATTATCCTAGCACTGCAAAAGTTTAGGTTTTGAGATGTTTGTTATATTCTAAATTGTTCCTGTTCTAAATTTTAAATACTCCTTCGCTACCTCCCCACCCCGCCACCACCCATTCCCCCGTAAAAAAAAAAATAAAAATTGCATATTAAGAACTTAGGATATCAGTTTGTAAGGAAGCCAGTCTGTAAGGCAGGCACTCTCAAGCATGTTCATGTGATCTCAAAGGACTTTTTTTTTTGACTGATACTAAAAAGCTTATTTTTAACATCTCAGCTTCAGTATTTTATCTGTCTAACCTACAGTTACCCTGAGAGCACAAATTTGTTTGAGAGCTGCTGGATTTACTGTACAGCTGTTCCAGCATCAGAAGGCAAATATAATATATTTTTAAATGAAACATATTAAAATAATGATTGCTGTGTAGATGAAAAATATATTGTTTACTTTTATAAGACAAGACTGGCCTTTTGTTCACATTCTTCAGTTGCTGTGAACAGTCTTATTGACTTCCTTCAGGCTAATACTCCGTCTAAATTGAAACAAGTATTTCACATCTTTCTTGAGTAAAGATTAACTTAATCACATGCTTCAGGGGGTGAGGTTTTTTTGTATTTTATTTGTTATTGTTTTCTTCCCCCTGCATTGCAGACTAGATTGAAGAATATAGTTTTGGAATAGCTTTAAAGTCTCTGTTGCAGTGGTAATAAAATATTTACTTTTTTTTCAGGTTGGTCAATTCACAAGTTCATTCATTTTTCTGGGATTTTGTTTTGACAGTTACTAGTTTAATAAGCATGTGAACATGCACTGTGGGCAAATTTCATGCTTGTCAGAATTTCAGATTTCTCAGAATTTCAAAATGATTGAGCTCATTCAGTTCACACAGGGCAAATACAGCTATTTGACCTCTCCCTTTCTTTGCCACAAAGAGTGCAGAATTTTGTGCCAGAGACAAAATTAACAAATCAAATTTTCTATTTCAGAAAACAAATAAAACTTGAACAACTGAATGATATTTTTTTCCACTCATTTGTTACAGTGGCAAGTGATTTTTGTTTTACAGTTCTGATATATCTGAACACTGTTTCAAGCAGAGCTTCTCCTGCTGGCATTACTCTCTCAGTTTAGAGTCTGATGGTTGTTTCTCATATCCATATATCAAACAGATCTCACTCTTTATCTTGAAAAGAAAATAGAGCTCCTTGAGATTCAGTGCTTCAAAGTTACCTAAGGTCTTTGTAGAGAAAGGTGATGAAGATGGGATGGATCACAAAACACCATTGGTAGCTCATAAAAAGATCTAATTTTTTCTTCTTCAGAGAAATGGCTTGTGTAGGTGAATAGAGAAAATATAATTTTTGAAGACGGGAGTATGAACCTGAGTGTTCTATCATTTATTTTTGAAGAGGAGTTGGGTAGGCACTCAAAGGTTTGTATAAGCTCAGTTGATAAAGCAGAATACAGACTATATACTAATATTTTAAAATACTTTAAAAGAAGCATTGCTAAAAAATCTTGCCAAACTCACTCTGTTGTTACTCTACACTTTTGAGGGGCAGAGAAAAGCAGTTTCTGCTCTGAGGGTCTTCCAAGACTGGTGATCTTTCTTCGTATAGGAGTGGGACTGGGTTCTGAAGTTCTAAATATTCTTTGGAAGAATTAAGATTAAAATTATACCTACATATTATAGTATAAGGAAGTGGGTATTGCAAAAAAAAAAAAAACTACACTTTTGAGGGGCAGAGAAAAGCAGTTTCTGCTCTGAGGGTCTGCCAAGACTGGTGATCTTTCTTTGTATAGGAGTGTGACTGGGTGAAGTTCTAAATATTCTTTGGAAGAATTAAGATTAAAATTATACCTATGTATTATAGTATAAGTAAGTGGGTATTGCAAAAAAAAAAAAAGTCTGAGATATGTCCATTTTCACACACGGACTTTTATTGTTAATTTGAGCACTAGAGATTCATAAATTTGGAGCTGAAAACACAGATTCAGACCTAGATTATAAACATAGTAACTCTTTGTTTCATTATTTTTTTTTAAACTTCTCATGGCAGTCATTGTTAATCACATTGATTATCATGAGTAATATTTTTAAATTCCCTGGATCCTTAAACATTATTAATTTTAGTTGAGATTTAAATATAGCATTCAATTTAATTTAGAATCTCAGTGCTATAGAAAATTCATCGTGTTTTTTCACTTTGTAATTCACTAGATAATTAAATTGACACAAGTAGTCTGACAGGAGTCTTCAGTACAAGCAAAACTAAAAAACCTGGGGGCACAGACTGCCCCCAACATCACGTCTCCATCAGAGTGTGCCTCAAACAAAACACAACTCACAAGACACAATGCAGTGGCTGTGATTTGTCCATACTTTTAAAATAATCCTCAGATTGCCTTACCTATATCACACATTTTATGAAAATTGCACATGACTTAGATAACTCTCATGACACTTCATCTCTTTCATCGACCTATTTTGATTTTTTCCTTTTCTTCTTGAACTAAATTTGGGTTTCAATTAACAGCTAGCTTTATGGATTCTTGTAATGGTTGCCTCCCACTGGTTTATAACAGATACAGAAAAACCAGCATTGAGCACAGCTGCACTTATGCAAATGGATGCTTTTGTTGGCACCTCATATCTCTCCTTCACTTATTTCCCTTCTGTATCCACCAGCCACCACACAGCACTAAGGACCTGAAACAGTGGCCAGCACTCCACCAGCTTCAGCTACTTTCATAGCTACCCTTTTACCTCTACCCCATCCATTTTCTGGTATGGTGGCTCTGGAACAAAATAAAACAAAGAAAAAAATGGTCTCACATGCACATTATTCTGATGAACTTTGTGGGTTTTGAGCTACAGAATGCAGATTTTTAAAATTAGCATAATTCTCATCCCACATTAGTAACCACATGGATAAATGTGCTAATAATATTTTTCCATTACTTCCATTAGGATGGATCCATTAGGATCTGTCCACATTCTCTGCTTTGTGGGCTCCTGGGAAATTAGTCCAGGAGTTGGCACAGTCAGAAATAAAAAAAACTCTTATTCTATTCTATTTGCTATCATACCCAATGGACACCAGTGCTCTCATTTCCACATATATGCCTGTAAAAATTGCAGCATTTCTACAGAGGCTGTGCTCCTCACAATATGGATAAAAGGGAAGGGATATGAAGAGAAGTTTGGAGAACTTGTAGGGGAGCATCAATTAAACTGATTGAGGTTTTTGAACTGCTGCTGCTGGGAAAAGATTTGCTGACACTTACTCCAATTAATTTTCTCAGTAGTTTCCACAAAATTCAATAAAAGAGACAACTTTTAACTAGGAAGCTCCACAAGTTCAGTGGGGAAGGTGGCTATAGATCCTTCCATGTTCAGGGTGGCTCTACTCAGGTGTCAAACCCCATAACTCTGGAACTGAACAGGAAAACTGTTTATTGCCATACTGACAGTCTAATAACTTTCATAGTCTCCCTCCTCTATGTCAACATCTTAACTGATTTCCTATGATAGCAGGGGTGAAAATCTTACAGGGACCTGATATATGAAAAAAAGGTGCTATTACTGAGTCAAAAGTGAACTTTAGATCATTTTTTCACTGATGTTTCTTCTTGTTTTCCACTGGTTTTTCAAGTTTTGAAATTCAAACAAAATTTTAAAACAGTAACTTGCTTTGTATTCTTACAATGAACTATGCAAATGCTATGGGAACTGGAAAATTTACATGATTTTTTTGTTACTAGTCTGTCATCAATTTCCATGGTTAAAATAACAAGTATCTGCATAATTAGTAGTGCAGTAGAAATTAGATTCCCTTAAAAAATTACTTGTTGATTCTTTATTTACCATTTATATTATCATAATCCACAGCAACAGCTTCAGTTCTTAATCTCAATTTTAATATGTGGAACTACTTTCCCATTAATTGTAATTGGAATGGTGTTTTAAAGACTGCATGTAAGAGTAGCACGACAAAAATACTAACAGCAGCATGAATTCCATTTGTACTTGATTTCTAACCAAATTAATTGCAAATTTAATTCTCAGTTTTCCTGGTATATTTTGAGCAAGCCACCGTAATAAATAATAATAGTAATTTTTTAGCTACCTAAGAATGTATTCAAGCATTTGCTTTTCTAGACTTTTAGCTGTTTCTTTTAGTAACACTGAA